GAGAATTATTTCCATTAAAATTTTCATTCAACATTTGTTTTTTTTTTTTTTTTTTTTTTGACAACGAAAGGATGATCTATTACTCAAGCTTGAGGTGGTGTGGAAATCCAGACCGGAATAGAACAACCAACTCTCGATAGAAAGATCGAGCAGTCTTAACTAGGGAATCGGAAAAACCGTTATGTGTCCCAGGAACATTTAACATTTGTTTCTAGTCTGAAAATGGAGTTTATATTATGTATAAATTATCATATTTGTTAATTATTTATTTACCATTTTTTTCATTGGAATTTAATTTTAATTTAATGTAATTGAAAAACTTACTAATACGAATTTTGAAAGGGTTTGAATTGGATTATGTTATGTTTTAAATTTGACGGTGTAAAACTGGGTTATGTGATTTTATACGATTATTTTATGTTCTTATGTCGTTTAGACGGTGGAAGTATATTAAAATTATTGTCGAGTTTTGTATTCATTACCTGGCATTTTGTTTTCTAATTTTCAACATTTTTTGGATACCATAATCTTAGATTTCTTGTTTATATCATGAAAATAAACTTTTTCATTTGTATGTTTATAGTAAAATGTTACACATCCGTTTGTAAATTACATATTTTTCTTATCAATAACGCTCAAATTATCCTACAATATTTTTTTCTTTCAAATAAGAGATTCAATTATAGTATTTAAGGATCAAATTTACAAAAAAGTAGACACACAATAAACTATATAAATTAAGATTAAATTGGGTATTTAATATTAAAGCAGTGAATCGCAGTAAACAATTAAATCGATTGATCATAAACGATATTAGAAAATAACTAAACTTAAGATTTCAAGTAACATAATTATGATGTATAGATGCCAAGGATGTGTGATAAACCGCCCTAGAACTCGAATCCAATGGTAAAATATCCAGCTTTCGATGTGAGCCTAATCAGATGAGTAACTTTTTGTTACAACTGTCGCATGCGAACAAGGAGCGAGTGCCGATCGATACTAGAGTGTCGATCAATGCATCCTTAGACAGAAGTATTAACGTCATAATTGATATGCTCACTAGGTTAACTAAACCAGTTTTCACATGTATCTAGCAATCTAGCTCAGTGGAGTTATTATCATATAATGTACCTACTTTCACAGTTATCAATATCTTATATTCAGGGTTTTAGTTGGCACTTCTATAACATAAGCAGTAAATCCAATTCTGATGAAAGATCCATAATGATTCACCATAACAGTTCTAAGTTTCAGTAATTCATCTAAACCCTGCTAAACCCTAAATTTAACAAAGGAAACTACTCATACATGATTAAGTAAAGCATAATAATAATTTGAATAGAATGATTAAATGGAATAAGGTAAAAAACTAGAGTTCCAATATACAAAATAACTGACATAGTTCTTGATATTCTTTCCAAAACGACTTATAAAGACCCTAAGAATGGGTATAAATTGCTAGGTGGTATGTCGTCCAAAAAATGGCAAAAACTATAAATACTATGTTTAAAATCAGTCAAGGGTATCCTAGTAATTATGTTGATCTTATGGGCTTGAATCGGTCTTCACTTAAGTCTTCCCTTCTAATCGTGCAAGTGTCGAGCGACACAAAAGGTGTCGTGTCGATTGACACTCTTTCTAGTTCTCGACTCAAACTTCTTATATCTTCAATAACTACGAGTTTCCTCTAAGATAAGTTCCAAATTGCTCCAAAATCTCCATATTGCTCTAAAGAATACATAGACTTGAAAATACTTTAAAATAGACTACAAACACGAAAAAAATATACTCTCAAAAGAAAATATACTATGGCTGAAAACAGATAATTTTCATAGTATATGAATACCCCCACACTTATCATTTTCCTTGTCCTGAAACAAAACATAGAATATTCATGTGAAAGAAGTTTGAAATCGTAGAGACTCACACATTTCTAAACTTACTATTATTACCTCTACAATGTTGCAAGCCACATCGAATCAATATTGCCCGACATACTATTATCACCTTTGCAGTGTTGAAATATAACAACTTTTGAGGTACCTTATGTAGTTTACCCTAGCATAGCAACCAAACCATTCAGTCAACAATATAGCTCATATTTTGTGACATACCCGTCTACTACTCTCATTTCTTACAAATAAAAGTTTATGCTTTACCTTGGGAGTGTCAAATGACACATGGACTCTTATCCCAACATGCATCTGAACAAACATGCAGCCTTTTCTAGTTCTTTTCCTTCCTCTCTTCTTCCTTCTCTTAGTTAATGTCTCCCTTTTTCACTACTTCCTTCTTGAAACGATCACTCACAAAGATCCAAGTTGGTGTTAATAATTCACAGAAACTAACAGACGCTAGAGCTTACCTTAGCGCGGCTCTCACTAACAAGAACACTTGCTTAGAAGGTCTTGAGTCAGCCTCTGGTCAACTAAAGCCAAAGCTCGTCACCTCCTTCACGACCACATACGAACACATAAGTAACTCTCTCTCAGCTCTTCTGAAACAGAAAAAGGCACAATTGACAATAGGATTAAGAATCACCGGTTACTTGGGTTATTTCCCGACTGGGTCTCTAAGAAAGAACACCGGTTTTTATAAGATTCTGGAGACATCGATGGCGAATACGACCCGAGTGAGATCCTCACAGTGGCTGCTGATGGAACATGAAATTCTACAACCATTAACGAGGCTATAAGTTTCGCTCCGGATATGAGTAATGATAGGGTGTTGATATATGTACGGGAAGGATAGTATAACGAAAACGTTGAGGTTTCGAGTTACAAGACCAATATTGTTCTGATCAGTGATGGGTCGGATGTTACGTTTGTTAACGGAAACCGCAGTGTAGGAGATGGGTGGACCACTTTCCGATCTGCGAATCTTGGTAATAGCTCTCTTTGACTCTCTCTCTCTCTCTCTCTCTCTTCTTGTTTTTTTAACCTTTGGGTCAATCTTGGTAATACATATTTTTTTCCATTTCTAAAACATTCATAGAATAGCTGCACTTGATCTAACACAAGATTTGATTGAATAAAAAACAAAAGTTCGTACTAAATATATCATGATTATAACTCTTCTACAACTTTCTCGGTTACAGCAGTCTAAGGCGAAGGATACCTAGCGAGGGATATAACAGTAGTGAATACAGCAGGACCGGAGAAGCACCAAGCGGTTGAATTACGTGTGAATGCAGATTTTGTGGCCTTACATCGATGTGTAATTGATGGTTACCAAGATACACTTTACACCCACTCTTTCCGACAATTCTACTGTGAATGTGATATATATGGAATTATTGATTATATATTTGCGAATCCAGCCGTGGTTTTTCAAGGCTGCAACATCGTTTCAAAGTTGCCTATGCAGGACAATTCACAGTAGTTACAGCTCAATCACAAGATAGTCTAGACGAAGACACTGGGATCTGGATGCAGAATTGCTCAATTATTGCAACCGAATATTCATTTAACAGATCAAGTAGAGTGAAAAGATATTTGGGACGTCCATGGAGAGACTACTCGAGAACGGTCATAATGGAATCTTTTATTGATGAGTTTATCGACGGTTCGGGTTGGACCAAATGGAACAGTGGTAAAGAAATTGAAAACCTTTATTATGGCGAGTATAATAACGGGCCGGGTTCTGAAACAGGTAAGCGGATCATTTGGTCGGGGTATCACACAATGGGATACGATGATGCGTTTAATTTTTCGGCAACTGAGTTTATCACCGGCGATGGTTGGTTAGGAAGTACTTCATTCCCTTATGATGATGGAATTTAACGTCCTTCTTGTAACAAGTGTATGGAAATTAAATAACAAAAATAATATCAATAATCATGGCTTGAATTATTCTGAAAACTGATGTATTAACTATATAAGAGCAGATTTATTGCAGCAGCTCATGTAAGGTTGCTTAAATTTCCTTTTTTTTTTAAGGTGACAAAAAATATATTTTCTTGAAATCTTCACCGTCTTTTTGTCTTAATATGACTTTCCACCTGTAAAGATGGAAATACCCATGCGGTCGTGTCTTTTTACAACTTCCAACACATTAAACTAGAACAAAGTTGCCAAGTTGTATTACTTGTATTGTTTTTGCTCAACAAAAAAAAGTATTACTTGTATTGTTTTCATTTATGAAGACGGTGACATTTCTATTGAGTAACACCGATCATTTCAAGGTATGTTGATCTTGGTCCAGATTCAGATGACACCAATCCATATTTGCGTTAACCCAAACATTACAACTCACGTGTAAGTATCTGATCCGGTGGGCAATTGTAAGAAATAGTTATAAATTGTCATATGCGTAACTTTTTGAACTTAATATGAGAAGTATTTTGATCATGATGTGTAACATTTGTTATATTAAAATACTATGGAGCACTTGACTATACAAGACTCAAGGTAACGCCAGTTCTCTCTACATTTAAAAACATACCATTCCCATCTCCCCTTCAACATTGTTTTCTCCAATGGCTCTCTCCTCTCTCAACTTCTCTTTTCTATTCTTCCTCCTCTTTACTCCTTCAATTTTGTCATATTCGTCACTGACTTCGCTAAGCCCTAATGAAATCTCTGCAACAACTTTCTGCAAGAACACCCCACATCCTGAAGCTTGTTTTCACTCCCTAAAACTATCCCTCTCCATTAACATAAGCCCCAACATTCTGTCTTTCATCCTTCAAACCCTCAAAACAGCTTTATCCGAAGCAGTAAAACTCACTGATCTCCTTTCCGGCGCTGGAATATCCAACAACCTCATGGAGGGCCAACGTGGCTCTCTTCATGACTGCAAAGATCTTCACCACATCACTACTTCCTACTTGAAACGATCACTCACAAAGATCCAAGTTGGTGTTAATAATTCACGGAAGCTAACAGATGCTAGAGCTTACCTTAGCGCGGCTCTCACTAACAAGAACACTTGCTTAGAAGGTCTTGAGTCAGCCTCTGGTCCACTAAAGCCAAAGCTCGTCACCTCCTTCACGACCACATACGAACACATAAGAAACTCTCTCTCAGCTCTTCCGAAACAGAAAAAAGGCACAATTGACAATAAGATTAAGAATCGCCGGTTACTTGGGTTATTTCCCGACTGGGTCTCTCAGAAAGATCGCCGTTTTTTAGAAGATTCTGGAGACAGCGATGACGAATACGACCCGAGTGAGATCCTCACAGTGGCTGCTGATGGAACAGGAAATTTTACAACCATTAACGAGGCTATAAGCTTCGCTCCAAATATGAGTAATGATAGGGTGTTGATATATGTACGGGAAGGACAGTATAATGAAAACGTTGAGGTTCCGAGTTACAAGACCAATATTGTTCTGATTGGTGATGGGTCGGATGTTACGTTTG